TTATGTCCCTCTTCTGCTGACTTTAGGCCTCATTTTTTTCTTCTTTTTCCAGTTTCAATAATTGTGAATTTATCCAATTCATTTGCAATTGCTCTTCCTTCTTTATGTAGGCCTGGATTGCTATATACTTTCCTCTTAGAACTGCCTTCACTGTGTCCCACAGAAGTTGGGGCTTTGTGCTGGTGTTGTCATTTGTCTCCATATATTGCTTGAACTCTGTTTTAATGTGGTCCTTGATCCATTGATTATTTAGGAGCATGCTGTTCAGCCTCCATGTGTTTGTGAGCCTTTTTGTTTTCTTTGTACAATTTATTTCTAGTTTTATACCTTTGTGAACTGAGAAGTTGGTTTGTAAAATTTCAATCTTTTTGAATTTACTGAGGTTCTTTTTGTGGCCTAGTATGTGGTCTATTCTGGAGAATGTTCCATGTACACTTGTGAAGAATGTGTATCCTACTGCTTTTGGGTGTAGAGTTCTGTAGATGTCTGTTAGGCCCATCTGTTCTCATGTTTTGTTCAGTGCCTCTGTGTCCTTATTTTCTTTCTGGTTGATCTGTCCTTTGGAGTGAGTGGTGTGTCGATGTCTACTAAAAGGAATACATTGCATTCTATTTCATCCTTTTATTCTGTTAGAATTTGTTTCACATATGTTGGTGCTCCTGTGTTGGGTGCGTAGATATTTATAATGGTTATATGCTCTTGTTGGACTGACCCCTTTATCATTATGTAATGTCCTTCTTTGTCCCTTGTTACTTTCTTTGTTTTGAACTCTATTTTGTGTGATAGTAGTAGTGCAACAGCTGCCTTTTTCTCCCTATTGTTTGCATGAAATATCTTTTTCCATCCCTTGACTTTTAGTGTGTGTATATCTTTAGGTTTGAGGTGAGTCTCTTGTAGGCAGCATATAGATGGGTCTTGCTTCTTTATCCATTCTATTACTCTGTGTCTTTTGATTGGTGCATTCAGCCCATTTACCTTTAGGGTGATTATCGAAAGACATGTACTTATTGCCATTGCAGGCTTTGGATTTGTGGTTACCAAAGGTTCAAGGGTAGCTTCTTTTCTATCTAACTGTCTAACTTTAACTCACTTATTATGCTATTATGAACACAGTCTGATGATTCTTTATTTCTCTCCCTTCTTTTTCTTCCTCCTCCACTCTTTATGTGTTAGGTGTTTTATTTTTAACTCTTTTGTGTTTCCCTTGACTGGTTTTGTGGATATCTGATTTTGTTTTGCATTTAGTTAGTATTTGGTTGACTTTATTTGCTGTGGTTTTATTTTCTCTGGTGACAGCTGTTTAACCTTAGGCATATTTCCATCTCAAGCAGTTCCTTTAAAATACACTGTAGAGATATTTTGTGTGAGGTAAATTCCCTCAACATTTGTTATCTGGGAATTGTTTAATCCCTCCTTCACATTTCAATGGTAATCTTGGTGGATACAGTATTCTTGGTTCGACACCCTTCTGTTTCATTGCACTGAATATATCATGTCATTCCCTTCTGGCTTGTAAGGTTTCTGCTTAGAAGTCTGATGATAGCCTGATGGTTTTTCTTTCATAGGTGATCTTCTTTCTCTCTCTGGCTGCTTTTAATACTCTGTCCTCATCTTTGATCTTTGCCATTTTAATTATTGTATGTCTTGGTGTTGTCCTCCTTGGGTTCCTTGTGTTGGGAGATCTGAGGACTTCCATCGTCTGATTGACTATTTCCTTCCCCAGATTTGTGAAGTTTCCAGTAGTTATTTCTTCAAAGACACTTTCTATTCCTTTTTCTCTCTTCTTCTTCTTCTGTTACCCCTATTATGTGAATATTGTTTCATTTGGATTGATCACACATTTCTCTTAAAATTATTTCTTTCCTAGAGATCCTTTTATCTCTCTCTGCCTCAGCTTCTCTGTATTTCTGTTTTCTGATTTCTATTCCATTAACAGTCTCTTCTACCTCATCTAGTCTGCTGTTCAATCCTTCCACTGTTTCGTTCATTTCTGTTATCTCCCTCCTGAATTCATCCATTAACTCTTGAATGTTTCTCTGTTGCTCCATCAGCATGCTTATTACTTTTATTTTGAAGTATTTTTCAGGAAGATTGGTGATTTCAGTCTCACCAAGCTCTCTGTCTGGTGTTTGAGGTATTTTGAACTGTACAACATTTTTCTGCCTTTTCATGGCAATGGGAGTAAACACTGGCAATTTGCGCATGTGTCAGCTGGGAGGACAGAGTCCCTTCCTGCTTACTGGTCACCTTGCCTTTCTCCACTGTCTGCCAGTCAACTGCACCGAGGGAGCAGCTTCTGTGTTAATCCGCTGATTTGCTCTGGGCTAGGTGGCTTTTGGGATGGCCTACGGCACTGGTGGGGGTCCCAGGCAAATTGCATGTGTTTTGCCACAAAAACGGGGTCCTTCATTCCTCCCAGTCTCTGCGTCTATCTCCCCTCTCTGTGCTGGTCAAGCCCCTGGGTTAATCCCCTGAGCTGTTGTGTGCGGGGTGGCCCTTCAGATGATCTAGGGTACTGGTGGGGGTCACAAGCAAGCGGCATGTGTTCTGCTGTGAGAACAAAGCCCCTTTGTGCCTCCGGGACTGTGCCAGTCTGTGCTCTCTGTGCCAGTTAACTGCACACAGGGATCAGCCTCTGAGTCTGGACTGCTTAGCTACACATAGGGAGAAGCCTCTGTGCTAAGCTGTGTGGTTGCTGTGGGCAGTGCTGCTTCCTGGCTGTTCTGCAACAATGGCGGGTCAACTGATTTGCTTGTAGTGACAGCAGGGGGAAGGAATGGCAGACTGCTTATTGCCGTGACAGTGTTCAGATTAGCACTGCCACCAAGTGGGTTAGGGCGCCTGATGTTCCTTAAAGTTTCAAGCCTGCTGGGTTGAGTGTGCCAGGACGATTTTGTCCAGCTGTTAAACCCTTGTCCCTTTAAGACTTTGAAAGTACCCACTTTTCTTTTGTCCCAGGACAGCCAGCTTTCAGAACCATTTTGCAGTCTTAATCCCAAATTTTGCTTTTCTGCTCCCCTGATATCCAGTGTATCATGCAATGTGTATCTGTGCTCCTGGTGCAAATTAGTAGGGCTGCTTATTTAGCAGTCCTGTGCTTCCACTCCTTCCCCACTCTGATTCCCTTCCTCCCGCCCGTGAGCTGGGGTGGGGGGGTGCACTCGGGTCCCGCCAGGTCACAGCTTTGTATCTTACCCTTTTCATGAGATGTTGGGTTCTCGCATATGTAGTCTGGGTCGTGTACTGTATCTTCTGGTCACTCTTTTAGGAATAGTTATATTTTCTGTATTTTCAAAATATATACACTTTTGGAAGGATATTTCCACCACCCTACTCATGCCACTATCTTAAGAATCTCTCAATACGAAGTGTTTTTTTATGTATGACACCAAAATCACAAACAATAAAAGAAATGTAGATAAATTGAACCTTAACAAAATAAAAAGTGTTTTGTGCTTTAAAGTACAGTGTGAAGAAAGTGAAAAGACAACCTGCAGATTAGGAAAACATTTTTGAAAATCAAATATCTGCTAAGGAAATTTTGTTGGTAATATATAAAGAGCACTTATTCTCAATCATGGAAAGGCAGATGACCCATTTAAAAAAGAGGCAAAGGACCTGAACAATTCTCCAAAGATAAACATGTGGCTGATAAGCACATGAAAAGATGCTCATCATCATTAGTCATCAGAGAAAATGCAGAGCAAACCACAGTGAACTGCTACTCCATACCTACTAGGCTCACTATAAATAAAAACAGTTAATGACAAGTATTGGTGAGGATATGGGGAAACTGGATCCTCAGACATTGCTGGTGCTAACTGCAGCTCTGAAACAGTCTAGCAGTTCCACAAAAGGTTAAGCAGAGCTAGCATATGACCCAGCAATTCCATTTCTAGATGTATAACAGAGAGAAATGAAAATATATGTCTGCACAAATAACTTATACATAGATGTTCATAGCATGATTCATAATAGCCAAAAAGTAAAAACAACTCACATGTCCATCAACTGATTCATCAATAAATAAAATGTTGGAATATATCCATATAATGGGGTATTATTTGGCAACAAAAAGAAATAAAATCCTGATAGGTGCTACAGCATGGATGAATTTTGAAAACTTTGTGCTAAGTGAAAGAAACCAGTAACAAAAGATCCTATTTTGTATGATTTCATGTATCTGAAACGTCTAGAATAGGCAAGTCTAGAGGCAGAAAGGGGATTATCACTGGGCTGTGCTGGGGAGGAGGAAATGATGTTGGCAAGGTGACTGCTAAAGAGTGTGGAGTTTGTTTCAGAGGGATGAAAAAATTCTAAAATCGATCATGGTGATGGTTATATTATTCTGAATATAGTAAAACTACTAAAGTATAAGTGTTAAATGAGTGAGTTGTATGGCACAGAAATTGTGTCTCAATAAAGCTGTTACAAATAAATGTTAAAAAAGGTTAAAATGCTTATAATGTGACTTTTATTTCATATTATACTTAATACATACAAAAATAAAGGACTCTTTCCCACCTATTTAGTCAGTAATGATTTGGACACAGGAAAGTTCAAAGTCTCCTTAATATCATCTAGGAAGTGAATTTTTCCTAAACAAGTTTATAGTAAACAAGAATGTAAGGGATGTGTCTCTAAAAACATCAAACTGTTTCCACATCTGCAGACACCACACCCACACATTATGTGCATATATTAAATATGCATAGAAAGTATATGTTGGTTCTCTGCTTGTTCCAGGCCATTCTTTACTGTGGCCTTTACATTTTACACCTTTAAAGGAAGAACTGCAGGACTTCGTTCCAATTTTGTGCTATTAGCCTTGTTTGAGTACTGTATGCATTTTGAAAGATAACCATTTGAAAAATGCCAGTTAGTCGAACTTTCTATGCAAACTGACATTCTTCCCATTAAGCCAAATCTTACTGTAGTTCTTGAGGAATACAAACACAATCTTCAATTAAGCTTAAATAGTCCTATTGGTTAATTTTCAGCTTCCTAATGAGGACCCTGAAATTTTTGAAGTTTCATCCAAGTGTCTGTCTATGCTGGTTCAGCTGTATGGAGGGGAAAACCCAGATAGCCTGTCTCCCAGAAATGCAGAGAACTTTGCTGATTTACTGACATCTAAGAAGGACCCAAAGGAGCAGAAACTTCTGTTGAAGATTCTCAGAAGAATGGTGAGTCCATGCTGACACTGAGGCTAGGGCAGGTGGTCCTGTGGCAGCTGGTGGCCAGGAGTAGCCATTTTCTTCTAATGAATTACAGTAAAAGAACTCTCTTCTCACCTGTTGTTAACATTCATCAGATTCTGCTTATCAATCTGCATTTACACTTATTTATTTTGAACTAGTGGGGAATAAGTTAGAGACGTTGTGCCCCCTCACCCCTTAATGTGTAAGTACGCATTACTAACAAAATGGATGTTCTCTTAGTAATCAAATCAGGAAATTTAACACTGACACAATTCTTTTATTAACCTGCCATTCATATTCCAGTTCTGGCAGTTGTCCCAATAACGTTCTTTATAACATTTTCTTCTGGTATAGGATCCAATCCAGGATCATATATATATGTGAGTAGCCATGTGTCTTTAATCTGGGCCAGTATTGCAGACTTTCTTTGTCTTTCATGACAGTTTTTAAAAATATAGGCTGAAGATTTTATAGAATCTACTTCAGTTTGGGTCTCTGATGTTTTCTGATTATTAGATTCAGGAAAGCAGGGATATTGTATCTTTCTCAGTCTATCACATCTAGAGCCTCATGATGTCCGTTTGTCCTTCACTGGTGATGTTAATTTTGATCACTTGGGTTAATCAATGTGTAGCTCTTATTTTTAATTCAGTAAGATTGCAAGAAAGAGCTTTTCTGACTCCCAACATTTCTAACTCCCAGTATTTTACTATAAGAAAATTCTTTTCCATTTTCCCCACTTGCTTTATTTTATTTTTAAATATATATATATATATATATATATATATATATATATAGTTGATGTTTATTTGAAAGTACTTTTGAAGACTGACTTGTTTTCTTTTTACAATAAATCTTAATTCTGCTGTTTTTGAAGGCTGTTATTTACAGTAGCTATTGTTGAATGTCATAAAGGAGCAGAGGTCCCCTTAGGCTGTACCATGTTCTGGCTTGTCAGTCTGTTCACTTGTAGACCCAGTTATCTTGAGGGGTCCTTTGGCCTTGGAGGCCGTGGAGGCCATGGAGGCTGTGGATGTTCCAGAGTCATGGTCAAGATGGCTCATGTGCCCGTGTGGTGAACAGGCAGCCGCGGCGTGTGACTAGCTAGATCTGCATGGCAGGTCCTGGGTGATAGAACTAGAAGGGAGCGGGAGGTTTGCCCTCCTCGCTGCTGTGTTATGCTGTTGTACAGCCAGCTCTTCCCTGCCCCCAACGCGACTTACCATCTGCCAGAGTCATTGCCCCCTGGGCAGTGTGATGCCGTGGTCTGGGCCAGTCCCCACTAGTGCAGGATGAACACGCCAGGAGACCACAGATCTTGAGGTAGTACTCCAACCTGGCTCTAGATGATGTTGAATCATGTAGTAAGGGAGGTATATCCTTTTAATTTTTTTTTTCATCTTTCTGATAACTTAAGGTGAAAGTCTGTTTGGTACTACTGTCTCTTTAACACCTCCTGAATGCTTCAAAATCTCCCTTTTCAACAGAGAATAGGCCTCTGAGATGTTTAGTTTTTACAGTAGAGACAAAGTATTTCTTTTAAAAAATAATTTCAAATAAAAAGGGTGAATTAACATGGAAAACAAATACTAGGGAATATAATGAGTGAACTGTAGATATGGCAAAATTATGAATTTGGTAGGGAATAACAGAAGCCTAGGAAATGTTGACCTATTATCTGATTAATTTTGCAGAGATCCACCATCTCTTAGTTGATTCCCCTAAGATCAGACTTGCTTTGGAAATCATAATTTTCAGATCTCTTTGGCATGATGTGTATACTGTATTATGATGTGACCCCCATAGGAGATCATGGGGCAGTGCTGTCATCAAACAGGGTAATATTTCTGCAGCAAAATGAATGGATAGTCACACCAAGTGAGTAAATAAAGACTTCACATGGCCCCATGTGAGTTACATTAGATTTTATCACCAAATATGTTTTTGAACCAAATTTATGAAAAAAGTTTTGATTTTCAATACTTTTTTTTCTAGATTTCATAATTGTAGATAAGAGATTGTGAACCTGTGTTTGGAAATAAATTACAATATTTTCTAAAATATTGATCAAATTAATTGTGCAGAAAACAAATTAGACCCCAGCTTGGTCAAAGTAACCAGATTACACCATCTTAGTTTCCTAAAGGATTCCTGCCTGATAGGATTTCCTTATAGTTTCTGACTTGACATGTATCAGGCCAGTTATATTTTGTTTGGAGAAGGCATGTTGAATCCGAGTGACTTTTACGTAAGTATATGAAAACTGAAGTCGTTTTTGGTGCTGCTCATCCTTTTTCTTTTCTTAATTGTGGTAAAATATATGTAACATAAAATTTACCTTTTTAATCACTTCTAATTCTACAGTTCGGTGGCATTATCTACAATCACACTTTCATGCAGCCATCACCAACATTCATCTACAGAACTTTTCCATCATCCAAAAATTGTACTCATTAAATACTAACTGCCCATTTCCCCATCCCCACCTCCTGCTAACCATCCTTCTTCTCCCTGTGTCTGTCTGTCTCTGCTTCTGTCTGTCTCTGTTTCTGTCTCTCTCCAGATTTGACTGGGTCATTCATGTGAGTTGAATGATACAATACTTGCCCTTTTATGTCTGGCTTATTTTACTTAGCATGTCTTCAAGTTTCACCCATGTTGTAGTATGTATCAGAACTTCATTCCTTTTGAAGGCTGAATAATATTCCATTGTGTATATGTGCATTTTGCTTATTCATCTGTTGATTGATAATTAGGGATTACTCCTGCTTTTCTGCCCCATTTATTAGTTTCTTTTACTTATTTCTTTATTATTATTATTAGGATAGACTTGTAGATTTTTCTTTTATGCAATGGGCTATAATCCATTGCTATCTGTTATTTGGCCAGTGGGAACCTCTTCTGGATGTCTGCTGTTCTTTTGACATGCCTCCATCTTTTTTGAGCACTTTCTGTCTTAACAACATAGTATTCCAGGCTTATCTTCTACCTTTTCTTTGCACTGGTCCTGGAGTCAGCCATTCCTCCAAGGAAATGTGGAAACTTTCCAGGTGAGAAAGCAAGCTATGAAATGTTCCAGGTTGAAATTATGATGGCTATTTGTTTAATAAGAAAACAGCCTGAACAGTCCCAAGGGTCAAACACCAACAGTTTCCTACTGTCTCATGGAAGATACCCCTGCAAGTCACTCTAACTCCTCGATGTCTCTAATTTAGCTGTTCAACAATACCCATAATATTTGCAAGCCAGTCATCTGTGATGTGTTTCAAAAACGTCTAAAGCTTTCTAAGTCAGTGTTGGGTTCAAGTTATGCAAAACACACAATCAGGGATTCCAGGGCTCAGTCAGGTTAGTTGGGGCCTGAAACTTGCCTATCCTCAAATCCAGTTCTGCTTATAGTGCTGAACTCAGTACATTTGGAGAGAAACAACACCAAATTATCCAAAGAGTGTCATGACACCAGCGCCCACTCCCTGACTGATTTAGTCCTTCCTGCTCCCCTTCCTCATCCTTGTGGCAGCCATTATTCTATAACTGTTAACTTAAGCTTGTTCAGGGTAGTGATGTGGTCTTATTCATTGTCGTATCTTGAGCACGTGTCTGACCCATAAAAGGTAGTCAGCAAATGCTGTTTATAGCTGTGTCCTAGTCCCTGTGTTAAAGACTTTTGATGTAATATCTAATTTAATTTCACAGTAACCCTAGATGTCAGTTCCAGGGATTACTCCTGCTTTACAGGTTAAAACCTAAGACTTAAAGAACTTAAGTAACCTTTTCAAGCCTGCCAACTAGGAGATAGCAGAGCTGGTATTAGCCTAAGTTGGATTGCCCCTCACCCATGCTCTTTCAAGCAGCTGGCCACCTTGCTGCTGCTCTGCTCAGTAGATGTGATCTCAGTGGGCATTAATCACACTGAATATGACCAAGTTTTTATCTAGAAGGTGCTAGAGAGATTCATTCTTTCATTCATGGGAAAATGTATTAGAATTATTACCAAGTGCAAGCATTACACTGGGGCTGCTAAGACAATAAGACGCAATCTTTCTACCCTCTTCTGCCAAGGATCTCTAACCAGAGAGACAGAGAAACACCCAGCTTCATTACAAAGCAGACTGTGATTGGTGCTATAGTGGGGGAGCCAGCCAGATGCCACAGGAATAATCTCTTTGGGGAGGAAGTTGGCAAGGACATGATGTTTGAGCTGCATGTAGAAGGATGTATTGGTCACCCACACCTGAAACAGGAAGACACACATCCTGAGCAAAGGCCCCAACATCTATGGAGCCAGATTGGGAGACCTAAGAAATGAGCTGAGAAAGACCAAAGGGTTCCAAACATGGGTTTTAATAGCATTTAGAGTTTGGACACCGTTGTTAGAATGAAGAAATTCTGGTCTCTGAAGCATAAAGAGGTAGCATTTTATTTAGTAAATATCCAGTGCACTGAGTAAGAAATGTCTATAAAATCTCTGCATTTGTTATTCACAATTGTTCATTTCTGCTCTTCGATGTACATTGTGAGCTCATTTAGTGCATTATGGATGTTGGTCAGACCACAGCCCCAGTCTGCTCCACAGCATCCCTGCCAAGTTTCTGATGGGTACAGGGGTTTGGACAGGCCGATGTAGGCAGAGAGGAATGTGAAAGATGAAAGGAATGTGAGTGAAGATTCCTGCAATTTAAGGAGGCTGGCTCGCAGGTTCACCTCTCAGAACTGGAAGAATTCAGATTTCATAGAAAAGCAGGGACTGTGTTCAGTATATTGCCTGGTGTCAGAAATTGGATTAAGGAGGCCTGATAAATGCTGCCTCCTGATTGTAAGCAGTTGAGGGAAAGACAAGTTCCTTAAGGACCTACCTCAAGGACAGTCATTAACGTTAACAGCACACTCCCTGCAGGACTTCCTCTAAAAGGGGAGCCCTGTGCTAAGGGGCCATCTTTTTAAAAAGCCCTGATAGAGGCGTGTCCTTTCCGTAAAGCTGAGCG